AAAAAAAAAAAAAAACCGGAAATGTAAAGCCAAGCAAGAGACAACCACACAAACTGTAATCACATTCTCATGTTAATTCTCTAATATTATCAAAAAGACCAGACATGGAGGCTAGGGCTACACACGAGTCGAGCGGCTCGCGAGCGCTCGAGTCAAAGATCGGTTCAAGCTCGAGTTTGACCGAACTCGTGTCGAGCCCGAGCCTATATATATTACATTGTGCGAGATATATGATAAATTAATAAAATACCCCTTGTATATATATGTATCATAATATTAATATATGTACTTAATGGTAATTTGACAAACTTGCTTGAAAATTTTCGAACCAAACTCGAGCCGAGCTCGAGCATTTTGAATTCGAGTCGAGCTCGAGCTATTGTATTTTTTATCGAGTTGAGCTTGAGCCTGAAAAATTGAGCTCGACAAGCTAGAGCAGCTCAAAAAAAAAAAAAAATTAATCTTGCTCGATAAGGCCAATGCTCGACTCGGCTCGGCTCGTTTGCAGCCCTAATGGAGAGCTACTAATTAAGAAAAAACTTATTTCCCCATTGCTTTTTGAAAATATTTGGACATCTGAGTTGGTAAGAAAGTTGAAGGTGGAGTGGGAGGAATTCAATGCTGTAGTGGTGGATGGGGTTGATGATGTTCAGCAGTTGGGTCCTGAGAGGTTGGATGGGAAATTTACCAAGGGGTAGGGCAGATATTCTTTTGTGTCAGTACCCCACTCCTTGATAGCAGCTTACAGGTGGTCAAAGGCTTGGCCTAGAAAGGAGGAGCTCTGGTCAAAGAATGGAACAAAGCTGCAAATCACAACAACAATGTTCTTGCAGATGAAATGAACAACACCAAATGGATTCAGAGTGAGGCAAGAAAAGAAGGGTGGTGAATACCGTACCGCTACGCGACAGTACTACGCGGACCTTATTTAGAGATCGAAGTGTGCTGGACCAAGAACAAGGTGGTAGCTGATACTTTGAACCAGAAATTGCTCCTTGATGGGGACTTGAATGCTTTAGTTATGGACATTCTACACATTGCTAGTTTTTTTTACTTCTTGTTTGTTTGCTGCTGTTTAGGTTGTGTGATTTGTTGTGTGTTAGTGGAAGTTAGGTTGTATTCGATGAGCGCCTTCAAACATAAACTGGTTGAAGACACAACAAACAGAGCATGGCTGAAAGGGTAAGGCCCGATTTCTTACTCTCTTCCTTGAGTATTTACTACATGCCCGTGCACCTTAACGTTGGAAAACTTGACATCGACATGCTTTCTCTAGAACTCATAAAGTGCATAGGCATGAAATGAAATTTCTAGGTCAATCGTAACACAACTTCGAAGGGTAAGTGACTCCTTAATACTTCAATAATCTTACCAACGTGTACTTAAAAGAGGAAGGGAAAAATCATCACTATTAGACAGATAAAAAAAAAATCATTATTTTCATGGGTAGTTCAAATTTTGGTCTGCATTAATTATGAGAGCTGCAACTTACATGAAGAATATTGGGAAAGAATAAGGTGGACATGAACCACAAAAGATCCAAGTTAAACTGGAAAGGACACCATTTCAACTTGCCCATCACAAGTTTGATTGTGACCTCCCAAGATTAATTTCGATGAATAGACAAATAACAAAAAATTTGAATCATCTCAACATGACTTTAACTAGCACTTAGTCACCTCAAAGAGTTACAATTCTGTGTTGTTAGGACTTAATTGGATACTATCAATTACAGGAAACAACAGAATCAAGAAACTCTCAAGTATAAACTTGTGTTTCCATCCTGATTGATTATCAGTATTATCTCACTCAATCATAAACTTATATTGAACTATAAAATTAAGGACCCTCGTTCAGACTGTAACGATAGGCTACCCAACTCAAACAGCACTGGTCGAGGGGCAAGATCTAGATCTACTCGAGAATAAGTTGATCACCAATAGGATAAAATTATTGGAGGCATAAATCAGTATAATCTATACGGTGGATTAATATTATGCCACACGTTCCAAATCCAACCAAAGCAACCCTTTTTCTTATATAACCATCTCCTCACAACCATGACAGTCAATCGGCGAATGAGGTAAACTAATCATCTTATCATAAATATAAAACTCTCCAACTTAATGCAGGTTGGGATTTAGCCAGGAAATTCAACAACTGATATTCTAGCACACCATTGTTCGAATAAAGTCCACAAATATTCTAGTGTCCACGGTAAACATAGAAGCAACCACAACACAAAAGCAGCCTAATTTTTCAGAAAAAACCGAACTATATAATTCACAAGCCATTAATGGTTCCTAAAAGGAGAATTTTCATATAAAAGTGAATCACAGCCACCATGTTCAGATCCAAATCAAGAAACGAATGCTGTAATCATATTTTATTATTATATGAGAGACACAAAAACATATACACATGAGAGCAGCAGTGACAATCAAGAAGAGAAGAAGAAGCCCATATGCTAACAAACATTAGATCCGAGATTTTGTACTTCTTACTGAAGATGGATGGTTAATCCATGGAGGTTATCAAGTAGCAGTAAAGAGAGCAGGATTGGATGTTGCATGGCCGACTTGTACCTCCAGCAGTTCCAAGCGCCGTTCCAGAGTATCCAGCTTCTCATTCAATTTAGCTAATTTATTCTTCGTTGTGGACTCTTCGTACAAAAATCAGACAGACAAAAAATGTTTATATATATGAAAATTCGTCGAGAATTAACAAAGAACGAAAGAAAGAAAAATTGTGAAAGAGAGAGATCTGAAAGGGGTAATTGGATACCGAATTGGACAAGGAAGTCGAAGAGGCGGCGAACGTTGAGGGAGATGTGAGAAATGAATTCCCGATTCTCCCAGTCGGCCTGCACGGCGATCCCCACATTCACAGCATTTGTAATTCCACCGGCTCGCGCCATCTCCGCCGGCGATTCTACTCGGATGCTGGCCTCGGGCGGCAAGTTGGACTGCGCAGCAGCTTTTACCCTTTTACAACTCGAGAGTCTTACCTATATTCAAGAATTTTGCAAAATTTGGTCCCTTAGTACCAACGGAAACGAACTTTGTAACCAGGGATCGGTTCCACCAAGAATTAGTAATAACTAATAAGAATGTATCTACCACGGACCGGTGCCTAGGTGCTAAGTGGTACTTGAATGCATAGTTTTTAAACTCGCCCGGAAATTGACCGGGCAGGTCTTTGGGTCACTGGGTCACCGGTTTAATCGTCCGGTCGCCGGTTTAACCGCAGGGTTATCGGGTCAATTGTTGAACCGGAGAATTAATTTTAAAATTTTTAAAATTATATATATATAGTATTTGTGACATATAAATATACATAAAAGTAACAAAAATAAATGTTTTGTATACAAAATTTGTATATTTAAGTGTTAATAATATTGAATCTCACAATAAATATTTACTATGTCATTATATAAACATTGTTTTTATTTTTATATAAAATAAAAAAAATAAAAAATTTATAGAAACCGGGTCAATGACCCGGGTCGACCGGGTCAAGGCTGGGTTGACCGGGTTTTGACCGGATTTGACCGGGTCCATTGTTACCCAGTCCAAATAGCTCACCCGGACTGGTTTCGGCTCCGAGTCGACCGGGTCCCAGGTCGACCCGCCGGACCGGTCCGGGTCGCAAAACAGTGCTTGAATGTCTCATTGAGCTATGACGTAGAGGTTCAGGCGCTTCGGTCTTTAAATTGTTGGTCGATCTCTTCTGCCATTTGGATAGAGTTGGATGTTGTGCTGTCATCACTCTCTCGACCTCTAGCTACCACGACACGTGACAAATTCCATATTCTCCCATGCGTATTAAAGCCACACTTCGATCAATTCGCTTCCGGATCTCGCACATCTTCCGCGAGGGGAACCGACCTGCTGATTACCTTGCTGGCATCAGGTCCTCCACTCCCCAGATGCGCACTCTTTATCCCGACGATATTTCTCTCTGCTTCCGTACCCCTATACAGATGGACAAGATGAGACATCCTTCATTCAGATTTGTGTAGTCGGCCATGCCTTTTGGTTGATATGCTCTCATGTGATGCTGATTTTTTCGCAAGGACTCTTCTCTGACCAAGATCTGTTATTTTTACTTGCTGTTGTTGTCAGCTATCTCTTTTTTCTTTTCTTGTTTCTGTTTTTGTTTTCGTTTGGTACGATGTATATCAGACATTGGATTTGTAAACTTGTGAGTTTTCAGCCCACTTAGGGTCTTTTTATATAGAGGTATGGGGTCCGGCCTTAACCCGGCAACTCTTCACCCACCTTCAATATCTTGATGATTTAAGATCTCCCGAGCTGAGGCTTGATGTGGGGATCATGTCGAGCGAGTTTAGCGCCTTTTAGAACCTTGATCATATGTATAGTATCATAGCCATAATATTGGATAATGGAACGACAACAAAAAAAAAAAAGAACAATAATTATGCACTGACAAAGAGTATTAATGACGTTTTCTTTCCCATTCACATTACATGAGGCCCACCATCTCCTACACTCTCTCACATCACAAATTAAGTGGATCCTCTTCCACTTGATGTCCCCATACCCCAACACACAAATTAATAGCTCCAATAGATTGCGACCCAAAAAAGGCCCTCAGATTCGAATCTGAGAGGTCCATCTACAACAGCATGCTAAGTTCCTCGTTTCCTGAGATGGCATCGTCCCTCTCCCTAACAACCGACAAAAGAAAATCAACGACCCCGACCCTCGTAGGTCACTCCTACTGCTCTGATTTGGATCGACGATGGACCTGATCCAACGGATGCACACAATCCTCGTTCCCGACAACTCCTCGCCCTCCTTCAGTAACTTGATGATCTGAGATCTCTCGAGTTGAGGCTTGATGTGGGGATCTTGTCGAGCGAGTTTAGCACGCACCAAGCAGGATCAACCGCGCAGAGGGTGTTGTTTGGAGTCAGGCTCGAGCTGGCCATGGCCTATTTGGTGACAGAGAAGGTGAAGGGCTCTCTTTTGCTCTGACGAGACAAGTGAAACCATTTCTCGATGCTTTAGCGGTCGGAGGGGATTTCGTTGGAGAAGCTGATCCTTCATGAGGTGCATGGAGATCTCGTAGATGAAGTAGCACAGGATCTCCACGTTGACGTACTTGTCCCCCATAGACAGTTGTAATTTTGGGTTGGGGGGCTATTGTCAGAAAATTTGGTAAGTCCTAGAGACTTGGTTGCTATTTTAAATTTTTTAATATATTACAATTAGGTCATGGGTAAATCTACAATTCATTAAAAGTTTGAAATGCATAGTAATGGTAAGTGAAATGCACGATGTCACGTGTGCATATGAAAATAAAATATACTTTTGAATTTTTATGAAATTACAGAACTGTCACCACCTGCACATATAGAAGTCCAGGAATTTACTAAAATGATACCGCACTACAGAATGCACATTAATGACTAAAATATACACATTAATTAACAGTGCATTCAATAGAATGACAAAAATGCTCACGCGTTAAAATTAAAAGTATTCATAATCACATAAACCAGTGTTAGAACCTTTAAGATGCCCTAGAGAGTTGATATATCACATCTAACGACTACGATTTTGATATAGCCATACTATCGTATAACGGTTTATATGACCAACGGTTTGGAAATAACCGAGTCGACTTAGGCAAAGTCGACTCTCTCCACAGGAACTATAATATCTCTGGTCAAGGGTCCAGATACCCCTCGGTCGACTTCCACATGTCGACTAGCTACAGCCAATATCCCCGGAAAAAGGATGAACACGTCAGGGCCTACCGACGACCAAAGATGACCCCGTCGACTCGAGTTGGTATCCCGAGTCGACTTAGGGAGTCCTGAGGCTTATAGACATTTGTCGATTTGGTACACTTGATACATCATAAGAAAGATGTTAAGGATAAGAGGGAATCTAAATGCCGACTAGGAGAGGGATGGAATGCGAACTGACCAGGGTATTGTGGACATTCCAGTAATTCGGCCAGGGCATTTTGGGGACTTCAGGTAAATGTCTTGCTCCTATATAAAGGAGCTGAGGTAACCCCAAAACTCTAACTCTCATTCATTCCATACTCTCCTTCATTACTGTTGCTGCTCTCTGAGAGCAGCTCTCTTCATCTCTCTCATATACTAACTTGAGCGTCGGAGGCTCTACGCCGGAAACCCCTCCGGCGTTGATTTCTTGCAGGTTTTCTTGCGGACCAGTAGCAATTTGAAGGAGACAACGACAGATCTGAGCCCATTCTCATCGGTTTGTTCTAGATCTGAGCCTATTTTCACCGGTTCGCTCCAGATCTGGGAAGAGACCCATCAGATTTATTATTATTTCTTTAACTACCACTTGTTGTAATTTGATCCCACTTCTGTACTAAGTATACATACTTTAGTTTTCACAGAAAATAAAATTATATCTAATAACAACAATTAATATTTTAGTAATTAAATTATCCTTTTATATTAAGCATACAATTGACATTTATTTCTTGGTTAGTTTGATGCATGACATTAATTGTTTTCTATTTAATTAATTATTATTGTTCATCAATTATGGTTGATTTAAACAAATTGTTGATTGATTTTTTAATATATTTTTAATAATATATATATATATATTAGGAAAACTAATTTAATTAATTATATTGTTATTTTATATCAGCAGATATTTAGTTATGGTCACCCATGAAAGCACTTAAAATATAAACATATAATTAGAGTTTATATGATTGAATTGTATCAATTAAACCTCGCTTGCCTGCTTTATTCTCTCTGCCACGCGCTTTTCCTAGCGGGGCTCGGGGCTCTTTGCCGATGGTCGGCCCAGGTTGCATGGCGTTGCCCTCAATTTTGCGCTGCTTCTTGTCATTTTGTGCCGGTGGAAGCAGATGGTTGCCCGGGATGGTTTTCGCCGATGCTCTTGTGTCGTCTTGTTGTGACGGGACGTTGGTTTCCATAGCGTCGCGGAGGTGGGGGGCGGTGGTGTGTCATCGGGGGGAGGTTGTGGCTCTGGCTGATTGCGGTGGTTGCGTCAGGGTGGCCAGGGTAGAGGAGCCACGACTCTTACCCCTCGGACTTATTTTTCCTTGGTGTGGGGTTTGATGGGTTGGCCGGCGCGGTGGACCTGGCCTGTGGTGTTGGTTGGGTTCAGGGTTGTGGTGGTGTGAGGGAAGGGGGTGAGTTTGTTGTTCCTCTGGCTGTGGGGTCGGGTCTTCTTCCTGGAGTGTGATCGGGGTCTTGAGTTTCGGCATCAGTTAAGCATGTTTGGCAGTTGTAGAAGCGGCTTTTAGGGTTGCAATTCAATCTGTTGGGGCGGTCGGTCGTGGGTTCCGTCGTCGTTTTGCACTTGATGTGGGAGGGCCTTAGTTTTATTTAGCATTAAGTGTGTTTGTTTGTGCTTTGTGTGTTTAGGTTTTGTGTTTCTGGTTTTGTGTCTTTCCTGTTTGGGAGTGTGTAGTCTCCCGTGTGGGAGTGGTGATTCTCCATTATTGGAGCTTTGTAGTTTTTGTTGTGCTTATGGGTGCGGTGTCTAGTTTTTTCTAACTTAGATTCTAGGCGATCTTTATATCTAACCTCCCATTTGTATTCAACTAGATTTTTAGTTGTCTCATTCAGTTGGAGGTTGTTTTCTCATTTGTACAGTTGTGCGTTTTTTTTATAAAATCTCTATCGTTTCAAAAAAAAAAATTATATCCATTAAACGAATTAACTGTTAGAGTAGGATACCCGGTGTTCCAATCAGACTGGACGTATTCTACTTGTATATACAATCTATTGGAATTATATCAATAAATAGGCATTATTTTATCTTAAGTATTAGCATTTATCATATATTTACACTTAAGATAAAGTCTCTAGATCATTTATTGGTATAAGGTATGGTTGCGCATAGAGATGGTGATCATGGAACATATCTTAAAAGCTGTGATCTTAAATATAGTTCCAAGTAGTTGGATATTTCGAGATGGGATATCGAATAATCCGGAAAGACTTGTACATAGTATGTATGCTTGTTGGACAAGAATGTTGCATTCCATCAACATTAGCGTGAGACACAAATACATATATGTGGGTGCTTGTTAGAGAACAAGTTCACTGAACATGACCGTATGAAAATTCTTAATGAAAGTTTTTCTGTCGAATAAGAATTTTCATGTTACAATAGTACGTGATTGATCCTTAGACTTGAGGCACGATAGTAACTTTGTGCATATTATATTCTACTTTGATTTATCCTTTTGGTTGCTAGCATAATCGTATAAAGGGATATTTTGGGTATTATATTAATATGTATGGAAGTTTGTCAGTAGCCAATAAAGGATTCGACACTTATGAGATAATTGAATTTTCTATGTGTTTCATAGTTCGTAATTCAAAGTCCTTGGCCAAGGCGGGATGAATAGAGATTCATACATGAATTACTAAACTTGAAATGGAATCATAGTTATTAAATCAATTTGGGTTTCGACTAAATCATACCCAATATTTAATCGGGAAATTAGATGTCGAAAGGATTTTACATGTATGGACTTGTAATCGAAAAGGTTTACTTGCTATTCCCTTAATACTAGATTCATGCTACTTGCTAGATGTTCCCATGATATGTGGGTTCTTGAAATTAAGGAGTTAATTTCATGAATAAGAATTAATTGGATTAATTCAAATTACAAAGAGTTGTAAGCCCACTACTAGTATTAATAGTGAACCTAAAAGGTCACACCAATTTTTGAATGAAAGCAAAAATTAGTATTTCTAAAGAGTTAGAATTAATTGACAAATCTAATTTTGATTAGATGTCAATTAAAAGGAATATACTAAATTAATCAATTAGATTGACTAATTGTATTTTGGATATTAATTAAGTAATTAATGGAATTACTAAATTAATAGTTGGATTTTAAAATTGGATTTTAAAATTCAAATCCAAATAATAATATGATTATTAAATGAGGAGATTTTAAATATGGGAGAAAAATATATTTACAAATAATTTTAGAAGAGTTTAAAATTATTTGTTTATTATTATTATTAATTTTTAATTTAGATTAAAGATTAAATAATAATAATAATATAATAATGGATGAAGATGAGATCTTGCACCATATTATATTCTTGTATTAACTTGTAGAAATGATAAAGGATTCTTTAACATTTCTTGTAAAAGTTAAAGTTGAATTTCTTTACATTTTTTGTAAAAGTTATACAAGACACATATATTTTATTCCTAATATTTTGCTATAAATATGGACATAGTTGATGTTCATAATAACTAAGTTTTTGGCTAAGTTTGATCTAGAAAAGTTCTTGTAAATCTCCTCAAATATATATTCCTATACTTGTTTGAAAAACCGAGTAATTTCTACTAGCGAAGAAATTATCTTTCGGAGTCGGATTTCAAAAGGTGGATACTCTTAGAGGGAAGACGATTGGATTCCTAAAGTGAGTAACAAGAAGAAGTGTTCGTTACCAAACCGGGAATTGATTTCCTCAATCATCGTCGTTTTTTAAGGAGTTCAAGAAAAAAAAGGTAATATTTTATATTACTTATAACAAATCAAAATTTGTATTATTACATGTTTTTAAATGATGACGATCTGTTAATTCGCTTTACGTATTTACGGGATGTGTATTTATATGATAAATACTTGTTTTTAAAATTTTTATTCGGCTGCAAATCACCCGTACGGTACTAGCGAACCCAACATTAACCTCATGTTGGCATCCGAGTTGGAAAGTATAAATCCAAAGCTTAACACCCTTAATGAGATAGTTTAGCAAGCAAATGATCCTCGAAGCAGAGCTTCTAGGTCAGTCCTCCTAGATTTGACGACCAGGTCGGCCCCGAAGCTGTAGGGGGTTTGAGCTTGGAAATAGAAAAACAACAAAAAAACAAGCAAGACAATGAGATAGTCCGGGCTCAAAGCACAATGGAAGTCTGAGCTCAAGGTAAGAAGGAAGACACCTAACCTCAAGGCGAGACTGTAGTCCGACCTCAAAGTTCACTTAGAGTCAAGAAATAATAAAATAAGACCACTTGCAATCTAATGATGACCGATAGGATGTGGTCACCAACTCAGCAGACCTATGATTCGTAGGCTCCTAGGAGGATGTCCTCATTAAAGGCCCGTCAATCAGCATTACATTGCTGTTGATCATCACTTAAGACCAGCCATAACTCATTTAATGCCTTTCATTCCGATTTACTGTACGAGGTAACCCGGTGAACAGTGGATGAACAATAGTTGAGGATGTTTAACTTTAAATAGTCCTAAGGTTCATGTATTAAGGGTGGTTGAAAAAATCTCCCCACCCCTCTAGAAAATCCCTCTCTAGATTCACTGTAACGATCATTGATGGTTAGTAACTAATTCAGGCATTTAAAGCCTAGAGCCTGACCTTGAAATTCTCAGAGGCCGTTTATCTCAACAACAAATTTCATACTTTCATAAGAAAGTCCCTTGTTATCCCATGATGTTGTTTTCTCAATCCATGCATAATTCTTGATTAATCGTTGATACACATTCGCGTATCAACAGTTTGACGCTAGAAGAAGGGCTCCACAATTTGTATGGAATCAATTTTCGAACTTGCTAACAGACATTGAAAATTCTTTTTCCTTTTTATAAGAAACAACTAAGGGAGATGTTTCTGTCTTTGAGCCAGGAGGTGGAATCTCAATCACAAGCCGCTGCACAATTGGGTACGGCGGCCCCCACAGTGGATTTCATGCCGATGTTTCAGAACCCCGAATTCCTAAAAGGGATGGCAAGTCTCGTGCCACAAATCATGTCATTGGTGTCACATTCACCCCACCCCCATTGGCGTACTCAAAACACCGACATAAAAAGACGCAAATCATGTCAGAGATAAAGGCAAAAGCCAGTTGTAGTCTAGGGCCATAGTTATCCCTCCAGAGGACGTAACAAAGATCCAAAAGGAAAAGACTGTGGACCCTACACAGACGGAACAAACCGGTGAAATTCAGT